CCCTACTTGTAAATTTTTTTTTTTTGTTAATATTTTTTTTTTTTTTTTTTTTTTTTAATTTTTTGTCTATTTTTTCTTAAAACCCGTAAAAAAAAAAAAAAAAAAAAAAAAAGAAGCAAAAAATCAAGTTACTCCTGCTTATAATTCGTAAGTGTGTATGTCTTTCATTGTATGTAGATATATCAAATAGGGGTTTTAGATTTTTTGTTTTTAGTTTCGAATAAAAGAAGAAAAATTTACGTCTATATCATTTTTCACGAGAATATACACAGATGTATATAGATATTAGACGAGATTTAGTTATATATATATATATAGAAAAGATCGTTGGTTGATGAAAATGTGTGCATCGATCCCACCAAACGAAGAAGAAGAAGGAGAAGGAAAAAAGTGTAGATGGCTTTAAAATTTCTTCTTCGTTTCTTCATTTTTAGGATGTTTCGAAAATTGAGACTAAAAAAATGTACATGCAACAATAATTTCGCAATGAAAGTCCGAAAAAAGAAAACATCTATATCTATATCTGTCTATAGATATGTAAAAGATGGAAATCAAAGTAATGCACAATATGTGTCGCAAGAATTTTCAGTTTTTTTAAAAAATTTCCTTTTCTCTTCTTTTCTTCTTTCTTCTTTCTTCTCTAGGCCGATCGAATGATATAGTTAGATTCTTTCTTCTACTATGTATGGTACTTCTGTTTTTCATTTTCTCTTTTTTTTTTTTTGTTTTTTCAAAAATTGATCTCTGATGCAGTTTATATGCACTCTTAGAAACGAAAGAATGACTCGAAATATACAACATATTAGAAAAGACTATGGGTCTCAATTTTACAGGCCGTATGATCATCTCGATCATTATACAGTAAAGATAGGAGAGAATGAATGATTAATGGATGAGTTATGCGTAAACGAACCAAAACAAGATTTATTATGCATATCTTCTCGGTTTTCTTTAAGTATAGATCTTTACGTAAGCAATATCACAATTCGAAAAGGTGAGAGTTTATTCTATGATTAGAAACACTGGCAAATAAAAATATTCTATTTTTTCTTCGACTTTCTTGAATCTGCCCAAGGGGAGACTGATTATTTGTCCAATTAGAAGGACTTTGAAGCGAATGAATTTTTTAGAAATTCTCCAGGACTCCCTCTGAAACTACTCACACAAGACACATTCTTCTTTTTCTTGTGCCGTGACACATAGTGT